TGATGGGCACTCCTGAGCACAGCTCCCCTCTGTCGGGAGTATCAGATCCAAGTGCTCTGCAAAGCAGTGTCAGAAGTCAGTATTCACAGTTATCGGAAGGCTCAGTTGGCAAGTATTGAGAGCAGGTATCAGTGCCAGGGGTAAGGGAGCGTCTTCACATGGAAGCGTCCTGGACAGCAATGCAGAATGAAGAGGCAAAAGTGAATCCTCTCTCCCTGGCGCTGGCAGGGGAAAAAAAAAAAGTGAATCCTCATTTTCCATAAGGGAAACCTTGGTTCTGCCATGCCTTTGTTTTTATCATAACAGGAAATTTGAGGGAGCTCTGATTTGAGGGAGCTCTGAGTCACCTTCCCTAGTCAGCTTCAGGGTCAGTTCTTCTAGTTAGGGAAAAACTCCATGATGATTACTTAAAAGAAAAAAAATTGGATTCATTTACATAATATATATATTTATATATACAGTTGATACAGTCTATTCTCACACCACATGCCATCAAAATTGATGTTTAAGATGTCTTCTTTACTCCCTTCTTCCCAAATTTAAATAATAATTCACTAATATCTTCAGAATTTTTTTTTTTTTTTGAGATGGAGTCTCACTGAGATGCCCAGGCTGGAGAGCAATGGCATGATCTTGGCTCCCTGCAACCTCTGCTTCCCAGGTTTGAGTGATTCTCCTGCCTCCGCCTCCCAATTAGCTGGGACTACAGTTATGTGCCACCATGCCTGCCTAATTTTTTTGTAGTTTTAGTAGCGACAGGCTTTCACCATGTTGTCCAGGCTGGTCTGGAACTCCTGATCTGCCTGCCTCGGCCTCCTGAAGTGCACCCAGCCCGGAATGTATTTTTCAGACAATCATTTAGCTTTCTCTGCTGCAGGCACTGTCTTAGATGCTTTAGTATTATCTCATTTAATCTTCACGGTAAGCTATGAAGTAGGTGCTGTCTTTATGCCCATTTGACAGATGAAGAAATTGAGACCAAGAGGTGAAGTAACTTGCCGTCGGTCACACAGCTGGTGAGGAGCTGCAGAGTCCATGTCCTAAACCACTAGGCTATGCTGCCTCAGAGAATGGAAGCTCTGAAATGACAGCAGGAGAATTCCTCAGGCGTCCTGGCCTTTCTCTCTGGATACCATTGGGAAACCATCAGGGAATAACTGTGTCTTTTCCATAGCCTGAAAAAGTTCATAGGGACAATCTAGCTCACACAGTTTATACAAGAAGGAGTTTCAGTTAATCTCCAAATATTAATCATGTAAAAATAGACCCAAATGAAAGTGATCATTTCTGGTGAATGTAAATGAGAACTTTGAAAAGGCAGATGGAGTTACAAAGAGTGCTTACAAAATGTCCCCTATGTATGTAGTCCATGCTGAAAAGAAGGCAACACAGCTATCAATGTGGAGCTAGAGGAAAGTGAGAACAGAGGAGCTACTTTTGTCCCACTGGGAAACATCACAGAGGGTGGAAGAGGCCATGTCCTCCCAGGGATTGGTCAGCAGGGGAACAGGCCCCACGGGGAATGGCCAGGGCTCAGAAAGGAGAGAGACTGGGAAAGTAAGAACAAGGAGTTAGATGGTGACTCAGCAGCAGGCACTTGGAGGGAAGCCAGGCAGACAATTAGCATCAAGAAGGCTTCGCAGGCTTTAGGCAGGGTTCTAGGGAACTATGCAGAGAAAATATCTGAGAGCTCCAGGAAGGCAGCCAAGACTCAGGCATGAAAGGCAGGCAGGGACTCACTGCTGGAATGGAAGGACACAGTGAAGGGAATAAGATGAGAGAAGATTCCAGAAGCAGGTGTATAAGATCAGAGAAGAATCAAAAACATCACCTGAATGCATGCTGAGATTCTGTGCTACCTACTCAGCTCCCAGCATTTCCCTGAGTAGGAATAACTTTGGTCTTAGCATTGCACCGTACAGCCTCCCTGCAGGAGAGGATACGAAGAGACTGTTGCAGGAGAAGCTCTGCCTGACACCTCACTCATTCATTTCCCCAGCACCCTCCCTTGTCGGCCATTTTTTGGAATTTCCTTCTTGTCGAGTTGGGACCTGGTCTTCTTGATCAAGCCATTGAGGTGAAGGACACCAGGATATGTATCCTATATTTGAACCATAATGGCTTTCAGGCTGCATATAAAGCTTGAGCCCAGTTATCTATAACGGGTGGCGTGGAAGAAATTGTCCGTTGATCATGTTTCCACTTGTTCCTTTGTCTGGACTAGGCAGCCTACAGGAGGCAAACACTGCCATCTAGTGGCGTATCCAGGCTTCTCTCCAGGAACTGGATCTTGAATTGTAGAGACACAAGCCTGGCTCTTTATCCTCTTCTGTCCTGCCCATGGGTCAGTCTGATGGTAACCCGTCCCAGGGGGCAGTGGGTCTTGTATCTGGGTGGCATGCTGGGCTGTTTGCGACTAGAGCTTCAGGCCCCTTCTGCTCTAACAGTCTGCAAAAGGACTATGCTCATCCCTGGACCCAACCATGTCGCCCGCTGCAAGTTGCATCCCTGGCCATGTGTGAGCTTGGCCTCAAGAAACGACCCTGAGCCCCTGGCATTGTCGCAGAGGAACAGCTCCACTGAGACACAGAAGCTCAGTGATGGAGAGTCTCTCCGTGAGAAAGAATTTCAGTCATCTAGGCCAGCATTCTACAGAGTCCATTAGTGAGGTGGAATCAGTTTAGTGGGATGTCAACAGCAGTTGAGAGAAACATAAAATAGAATGTCAGAATGGAACTTGTGTTTCAGTGATATATCTATTCACATGTAATGTTCTCTTGTCAAAATATGAAATGTATTTCTTACAGAGCACTCTGGGATCTGAATCCCAGCACTTTGGGAGACTGAAACAGGAAGCCCAGGAGTTTAAGACAAGCATAGTGAAACCATGTTTCCACAAAAAAATTAAAAAATTAGCTGGGTGTGGTGCTGCACACCTATGGTCCCAGCTACTCAGGAGGCTGAGGTGGGAGGATCACTTGAGCCAGAGAGGTAGAGACTGTAGTGAGCCAAGACTGCATCACTGCATTCCAGCCTGTGTCAGAACGAGACCCTGTCTGGGGCACTGGAAGGCATTCCTGGACCCTTACCCAGACCTACTGAATCATGATGCGTGACTGGGAGGTGGAGCAAGAGAAGGAACAGCTAGGGAATCTTCATTTTATAAGCTCTTTACATTATTTTTATGTACACTCAATGCCCAACCACTGATATTGGCATTTCTGAGCTTGAATTTCCTGATGTATGAGGAGGAAACGATAGTACCACCTTGTTACTGTGAGGACCAAGTGGATAATTAATTTAGTAAAGGTATTTTGCTAACTGTAAAAGCACTCTAGAGATTCGAAATATCTCCATCCCACAAGATCCTTCTCTATATGATGTTTTTAAGGAGGATAGCACCAGAAGAGTCAGGTAGGGGACGGGGAGGACTGTGCATTTAGTGGAACCAGGAAAGTTAAATGGAAAAATGTTGTTTTATTCTGTCTCCTTCCACCTTCTACCTTCTGTCCTGCAGATGTCCTGATCTGATCCCAGTGGTGGTCCTATGACTCCCTGCCCTGTGACTGGTGGTGATGCTTATTGCCAGCATCAGTCTGATGCATTATTTTAACATTTTCAAGCCCCCTCTGACATCGACGTCCCTTTAGTGGAAATTTCTCATGGTCCTTAATGCTGAACTTTTGGTCCTGGTGGGACTGTTAATTCTCTACTCACTGTGACGTTCACTGTGTGTGCCATTGGGCAGAAGCTTCCCAGAATATGTGTGAGATGGCTACACGACATATTTGGACTAGTACATTAATATGGGCACTGGTGCAGAACATTTGGGCCCCGAAGGCTTAAATCAGAGATGCACAGACTGAAGTCGAGTTCACTGGAGGTGGGGCAGGGATTTTGCCTCCAAACTGCTGTTTGGGGTGAACTTTAGAGGATAACAGGCTAGCAAGCTGGGCCTCTCGGCCTCCTCCTTCCTTCCCTTCCCTGCCTGTCACTCTTCCCCTAAGTGCAGCTGCTCTTCCAAGAGGGAGACTGTGCTTAGTTCTAGGAGACAAACTAATAACCAAATAGGTTCTTGTGGAAATATGAAGCCAGAGGAAAGGGAGGAAGTGGGGCCAAATCCCCAGGGTGAAAAAGTGAGAAGTCTCAGCATTCAGCCAGTAGGGATTGCTCCTGTCAACCCATTTTATTGGTTGTGTCCTAGGATCAGTGCAGTAGGAAAATGCCAGTGTGGAGCACAGCCAGCATGGAGCATGAGGGGTTGGAGACTGTTCCTAAGTGGGAAGTGGCCCCTCTTCCCTTCTCATTCTTCCTCCTGGTCCCCAGTGGCTGAGCCTTTGAGGCTCTTCTCCTCCCAGATAGACATTGCTTTACTTCTGCCTTTGAGTTGAAGCCCTCATAGCCTCAATTTTAGGCTGATGGTTCCAGTAAGGAATGTGGATGGGAGGTGTTGCAGGGGTTAGAAGGAAGGAAGGTTCCCTCTTCCATTATTCCCTATCGACTAGTGAGAATCTAGTGGGAGGGGTGAGTTGAAATAGATGCCCCTACAATAGGAGTCTGAGGGATGGTAGTCAGAGCAGAGACAGGGCACAGGGTAGAACCCTTGGAAGGGGTAAAGGGGCATACAGGGAAGGGGTTTAATGGCACAATTAGCTGAAGCTTGACAAAGGACTAATGAGCTCTAACGAAGCAAGAGGAATTCGAATCAAAGCCCTGGTTCTGGGCAGGCTTCAGACTGTGGCTGCAGCTAGAAAGCCTGAGTGATTGAATAGCGCTGTGCTAATTACATTTTTTCTTCTTTTCTTTTCTGTTCTCAACTCTCCTTTTCATCTTCTGCCATCTCCCCACCCTACACACCATTTTCACCCTTTTTCCCCTTTTTCTTCCTCCTCTCCTCTGCTCTCACACATCCTTCATCCCCTCTTGCCAACCCTCTCCCATATTTCTCCCCCTTTCTCCATGCCTTCCTGTTCTACTCCCTCCACCACCACCTACCAAAGCTCTCTGGTGGATGTGAGCTGACCGTGGTCCTCCAGGATTTCAGTGCTGGCCACAGCACCGAGCTGACCATCCAGGTGGGGCAGACGGTGGAGCTGCTGGAGCGGCCCAGCGAGCGGCCCGGTTGGTGTCTGGTCCGTACCACGGAACGAAGCCCGCCCCTGGAGGGCCTGGTCCCCAGCAGTGCCCTGTGCATCTCACACTCCCGAAGTAGCGTGGAGATGGACTGCTTCTTCCCCTTGGTGAAAGGTAGGAGAACAGAGTGGGTGGGAGGCACAGACCAAGGAGGCCATGAGCGCTGGCCTAACTCTAACTGAAGGCCACCATGGAAGCAACCTGTCTCATGGACCCATTTAGACCCTGTGGGGTTTCTTTGGGACCCGATTGTGAAAAGAATGGGTTGGGAACTTGGAGAGCAAGAGCTACTAAGTGACTGTGTGTGACTTTGGGAAAGTCATTTAGCCTTCCTAAGTCAGTTTCATCTTAGAAGTGAAGGTTGAATAAGGTAACCTCTAAGATCTCTTACAGCTTCCCCAGGGTATCACACTCCATTCAGAAAAGTCCTTTTCTACCTTTGGCCAAATATGGCCTAGACTCTTCCTTTCTCCACTGACCTAGTCCCCCTCCACAGCAACTTCTGGCTCTGACCCCCCACCAGGTACTCTCATGCTGACCTGGAGACACCAGGCAGACCCAGGGAGGAGCCACAACGGAGTCAGATCTGATCCTCCCCTCAGCCCGCTGGGGTTTGAGGTCTATGATTCCTTTATGTGCCTTCAGCAGATGAAGTACTCCAGCCTTGGCTGTTATTGTATAGAAGCTCTGTGTTCTGTGTTCCCTTCACATGCCTGTTTACTCACTTTCTCACACCAGGGAGACTAAATTAATCATGACAGTGGTTCTTCAGGGGTGGTCTCTGGATTAGTAATATCAGCATGCCCTGCAAACCAGTTAGAAATGCAGATGCCAGCCTGGCAACATAGTGAGATTCTGTCTCTACAAAAATTTAAAAATGCAACGTGGTGCATGCCTGTAGTCCCAGCTACTTGGGGGACTGAGGCAGGAGAATCACTTGAACCTGGGAGGCTGAGGTTATGATGAGGGTGCAGTGAGCTATGATTGCACCACTGCACTCCAGCCTGACTGACAGAGCAAGACTCCACCTCTAAAAATAAAAAAAGTAAAAAAAAAAAAAAAAAAAAAAGCCAGGTACAGTGTCTCATGCCTGTAATCCCAACACTTTGAGAAGCTGAGGAGGGAGGCTGGCTTGAGGCCAGGAGTTTGAGGCCTGCCGGGGCAACAGAGTGAGACCCCATCTCTATAGGCATGGTAGTACATGAGCAGTCCCAGTTACTCAGTGGGGGACTGAGGCACTTAGGTTTGGGAGGACAAGACTGCAGTAACCATGCGCACACTGCTGCACTCCAGCCTGGGTGACAGCAAGGTCCTGCCTTAAAAAAAGTTTTGTTTAAATATAATTTTTAAATTAAATTAAATTTTTTTTAATTTAGTTTTTAAAAAGAAACTCCAATGATCAGAACCCCTGCCCCTCCAGAGCTGGTGGGGCCCGTCAAGCCCTCTAGGTGGCTATGATGCACATTAGAGCTTGAGCTCCACTGACTTCAGAAGTCCAGGTGGCAGAGGTCTCGCAGCCAAGCATTTTACACTGAGGAAGCCGAGGGATGCAGAGCCAGGTCTTAGTTCTGGGCTTATTTTTGTAACTGGCCAGATAATCAGCATCAGGGATGCCTTTTATGCAGACCTGTGCTAGATCATTCTAGGGAGGAAGATGGGGACAAGAGTCAGCATGGAGACCTGCTGCAGGTATCCTTATAGTTGCCATGAACTTGGTACATGTTTAAAACGGTCTGGTGTCTGGACTGCCATCTGGTCTACCTCTGAAGCCTGACTTCCTTTTCTCCACTAGATGGCAGCAGCAGGCTGCACTTTTTGTGCTACATCCAAAGTTCCGGGCGTTTTTTCCACCAGGAGAAAAATGTCAGCTAACGCCGCCCGCCCCACACCCCCCGATTCTCCTCGTGCCGTCCACTCCCAATTTAGTTATTGCCTGCTTTCCCCGCTGTCCTCTGAGGACTAAGGAGGGACTGTGTCAAGAAGTTGTATGGGAATTTGAAATTGCGGGCACAAGAGGAAAATCAAGGGAACTCAGGAATCTGGTTCCGCTTGAAGTCTAGCCAAGAGGAGAACAGGTACACAGAGGGTAGATTATTGTGAGGGTAAAATGAGGTAATGGAGACAAAACACAGCAGTGCCTGGCATTTAATGCACCTTAGTTGTCATGATAAGTTTTTGCTCTTATATCATTTGCCATAGATTATCCAGCAAAATAACTACACACTCTCACAAGTCCAGTTGAGAGACCCATCTGCGCAGCAATTCATTTGCCAAGAAAGGCTAACGTTTCTTGGATCCCCAGGTATGGGTTGTTTCCATCAGGAGGGACTCAGCTTCAAGGGAAGACTGGAAACTTCCTGACCTAGGCCCAGCCGTCCTAGCCCGAGGCTGGGTAAATGTGCACTGCTGCTGGGGCTGCCACATGTACAGCTTGGCAGGAGGAAATCCAAGGTGGAAAATCAGAGAGCAGTGTCAGAGTTAATCTGTGATCCCCAGGCGGGAGGTGGAATCATTCAGGGTGAGAACTGCACAGGACTGGGGGTTCTCTCTACTATAGAACAGATTAGTGGAGACTTAACTAAAAATAGGAGCTGAGGACCAGGGATGGAAAATAGAGGCAAGAGACAGACCTGGGAGGGAGGCTGTCATAGAACTTTCCAGTTAACTCTGCCAACTAGCGTGGCTTCTTAAAGGTACCAGCAGTGCCTCTCACCCATTTCCTTGGCTCTTTTTATTTCCAGGTTGGTTTTTCCCCAAGCTTAGGCCAGTTATGCTGAGCCTTCAGACGGCAACCTGTGGGGTCTCACTATCTTCTCATCCCTGTGGGCTCCGGATACAGAGGTGCCCAACTCCCAGTAGTCAAAGACCTAAGTCAGCCAGGCACAGTGGCTCACTCCTGTAATCCCAGCACTTTGGGAGGCTGAGGCAGGTGGGTTTCTCAGGCTCAGGAGTTCAAAACCAGCCTGGGAAACATGGCAAAACCCTGTCACTACAAAAAAATTAAAAATTAGCCAGGCAGCGTGGTGTGCATCTATATAGTCCCAGCTACTTGGCAGGCTAAGGTGAGAGGATCACCTGATCCTGGGAGGCTGAGGCGTCAGTGAGCCATGATCACACCACTGTACTCCAGCCTGAGTGACAGAGTAAGACCCTGTCTAGAAAAAAAGGAGGGGGGACCTAAGTCTGCATTCTCCATGGACCATTCTTTATGCCCTTATGCCCACTGCACATGCCACAGCCTCAAAGCCCTTTCCCTCTCTCTTTGGAGTGTGCCCAGAGCGCTGGCCTTAGCCAAGACCCAATAAGCTGTTCCTTCTCCTATTCCAGCTGGCAAACCGCCTTTTCTTTTCTCAGCAGTAATTTGTCTCCAGTGGGTACTTTACCTTATAAGTTATGCACAACTAGATTGAGAATAAAACGTTCCTCCGGGGGTTGTGGAATAGGACAGAATGGTCTCATCTGGTGTCAGGGAGGTTGGAATCAATTCCTTTTTCAATTGCTATAAGAGAGCTGGCCTCCTTAGCATTTGCAGAGAGCACCAAGTCAGTACTCTCACAGGCTGTGTGAAGCATGGACTGTGATGGCTAAGCACCTTGTGAGTGCTCCGGCCATGACTGTCACCCCAGAAATGGAAACAAAAGAACCACAGGATGGTTCTTGATAATCCACTAGACCAGGGTTCTCAACCCTGGCTGCACATGAGAATCATCTGGGAGCTTTTCCAAATGACAATGTCCAGACCACTCTAGAACAAATGGAATCAGAATCTCTGGATGGGGTCTGAGGCTCAGTATTTTTAAGTGTTCCGTAGGTGACTCTAAGGTGCAGGTAGGGTTGAGAACCACTGCACCAGCCTGGTCTCCTGTCTTCCAGGAAAACGCTCAGGCTCAGGAAAACAAGGTGACCTCCTAAAGCCACAGGGAAGTCTGTGGCCAAGCTGGCACAGACCAGGGCTGCCAGCACCTGTTGGGCTTCTGGTAGTGTTGGGGCTCCTCTCTGCCCTTCCCTCCTCTGCCTTCTGTGGGAGCAGTGGTTGGCTATTTCCTCCTGATATGTCTGTGGTGTCCCTCATGATGGGGTTGGTGAAAAAGAGTGGGGCTGTGTGACACAATTGGGGTAGGGCTGCCTTTCCCGATACTTTACTGCCACCGTGACATCTTAGGGCTTCTCACTGGGATTGGGCCCTCCAGCGCTAGTCCCCCATTTCCACAGTCTCTTCTCATTTTCACAGCAGCAAGTGGTGGAGGGCAGCACCTCCCAAGAGGCAAGCCTTTGTAGCAGTGCCTTCCAACTCTGGGTGTACTTTAGAAACCACCTGGAGGAGGTTTCTAAAAATACCACTGCCTCACACCCACCCAGAACAATTAATCCAGCTGCTAAGGATGTGGACATCAGTATATTTTTAAAGTTCCTTCATGAAAAAAAAAAAATTAGCTGGGCGTATTAGCATACACTACTAGTAGTCCCAACTACTCAGGAGGCTGTGATGGGAGGATTGCCTGAGCCTGGTGTTCAAGGCTATAGTGAGCTGTGTTCATGCCACTGCACTCTAGCCTGGGCAAAAGAACAAGACCCTGTCTCAGGAAATAAACAAAATGAAAAACGTTGCAGCCAAGCGAGGTGACTCATGCCTGTAATCCCAGCACTTTGGGAGGCCAAGGCAGGTGGATCACGAGGTCAGGAGATTGGGACCATCCTGGCCAACATGATGAAACCCTGTCTCTACTAAAAATACAAGTGGGGTGTGGTGGCAGGCACCTTTAATCCCAGCTACTTGGGAGGCTGAGGCAGACGAATTGCTTGAACCAGGGAGTTGGAGGTTGCAGTGAGCTAAGATCGCACCATTGCACTCCAGCCTGGTGCAATGAGCCGGAGTGAGACTCTGGCTCAAAAAAAAAGAGTTACTCAGTGATTCTGATGTTCCCTTAGGGTTGAGAACTACTGCTTTGTGGACTCAGCACCCCCAGGGTGTCAAGCTTAGGAGATACTTAAAGCTGTATTAGAAGGGTTAAGGGTTAATATCCAGATTATATAAAGAACTCTGGCAACTCAACAGCAACCACAACAAAATAGATTTAAAAATGGGCAAAGGACTTAAACAGAAATTTCTCTGA